TGTTGCTCCCAAACTATTGACGCAAAAGGTAGCAGTACAACAATTTTTTTCCACTGCAAAATGAGGCTGTTTTTAAACTCCACATGCGAACATCTTCCCACACACACCAAATTAAACATTAAATAAACCAGCTGTGATTCCTGTGAATGTTCTTTGTCAGTCGTTTTTATAGTCACTATCTAGAATTTTGTTTTCATTTTTTTGTAATTTAAGGTCATCAAATTTTTTATTTTACTATTTTTATATGTTATATGCACAAAAGAGCACAGTTTTAGTGTCAGGTTGTTATTTTGTCTTACTAATTATTGCTTGATGTTCTTTGTTATTACAGTGATCTTTTGTTTGTTTAAGGTCTGGATCTAGTTCTAGAATTTCAATTCAGTTTGATTTTTTGTATTCTGGGCTCAAATTGAGAGGGAAGGATTCATGGCAGCTAACTAAAACTATTTGTTTATTTGCAATCTCTTGTTGAAGACCATGAAAATAATATATTACTTTTAGTCAATTTGTTTTTTTTTTCTGTAATTGTACTTATATTTAATATTGTGGCATACTGGTTCTCATGGGTTGACAGAGCTGGTTCATTGCTATTTAATTTGATACATTTTGATATTTTTTTTATAAAAGAATTTCCTTCCAAAAACTGACAGTAGGGTGAAAACACAATAAAATGTTTTTGTTCAGCAGGTCAATCAGTTAAGTATAAACTGATATTTGGGGGCACTTAATTAAACGGAGTTATGACTTTCATTCAATCTTTATTACATTTGATAGAATGGTTTGTTAGAATGTTTTTTACAGTTTTTTGTCACATTTACCATGAAGAAAAATTTGTCATTGAAGATGTTTGCCACATTTAATCAGATTTGATTGATTAATTGACAAATCAACAACATTAATATCCACTTCATGCATTCACCTGAAACGAAGCTCCATCAGTGTTTAGCCCATCTTCTCAGTTCAAAAAGCTAAAAAATGCAAAAAGGTCTGATAAGTTACCTCAGTGCAGGGCTCTAGCCTAACTTTTTGCCACAGTTGCATTGGTGCGCCTAACTTTTTTTCTTAGCTGCACCAGCACAAAAGTTAGCTGCACCCAAATTTTTCAACCCCATCGCTTAACACCGCAGCTGTACATGTTTACTTTAAAAAATGCTGTCCATACAGACAATATTGATTTATAAATGATTAACTAACAATCTTGTCAACACAAAGTTCTTTATTTGGAGCACATTTATGCAAGAAAGATGCCTTACCATATTATTTGGACCATAATGAGCACGCGATTATAAGGCGAATTAAGCAAAACCAAACAGTTGGGTTAAAATCAGGTGTTAGCCATTCAAGAATATTCCACTTCTTTGCTTTAATAATGTCCTTGGTTGCTTTGGTTGTATGTTTTGGGTCATTGTCAAGAAAGTGTTAAGAGAAAATGAGCAGTGTAATTAAATCTTTAAAGACGATGAAGAAAAGGATCATTCATAACACAGCCAGCCTTTTTTCATCCTGCCTTATGAGCAGCGTCACAAGTTGAACAAGTCTGTAAGTCATTTCTAGTAATCAAAACAACGTGTGGGTTTATTTATTTAGGAGTGTTTCCGGAAACCTTCTGTACAGCATAAACTTAGGCATTATAATTCTTAAAACATCCTCATTCAGTTCACAGGAAAAGAAAAACACTTTGTAAAAGCTCTGTGACTTTGAGTGGATCTGGATGAAAATTTCTACTGCAAAACACCAACAAAAGAAAAACTAAACAAAAAGAAAGAAATACTTTATCTTAAAATGGTCACCTGCAATGGATACTGGAAGAATTTATTTAAAACACACACATTGAAAAATCCTTTCCTATTCCTCTGATCTTCAGCTGGACCCTATCATCTGAGCAAACTTAAACACATTGTATTCCAATCATTGTTTTCTTGTACTCACACGTACCATTGATTCAAATCCATGCTCATGTGTCCAGATTGATTTCTGTACTAGAAATGGATAAGTGACATTTTCATTGGGAAACTACCAGGCTTTGTGACCTTCACTTCACCGGGCACTGACAGCGATTCAAACATCACCTGCAGAGGTGAAAATTTCACTAATTTTACCGTGTGTTTTTGGAAATTGAGTAATGTAAGTGCTGACAAAAATAGCACACACACACACACACACACACAGATCTTTGTAGTTGAATATATTTATTTGTATTTAAACATTGTTCTTTTTTATGCATGAAACAGCATTTCAGACATCATAACAAATTTCAAACACTGACACAGGAGAAATATTTTGTAAAATACAATTTATACATCCAGGAGACTATAGACTATATTGAAATGATGAAAACAGCTCTAAAAATCATCCATTCAATTTTAATTTTGGTGTCATTATTTTTTTAATTATTTAATTGAATCAAAAGTAAAACCTGCCCAAGTTGACTATTGTGGAGCGACGGGACTTCTGGTAATTGTTTTTGGACGGATCCAAAATGGAAAACTGCTGTTAGAACCCCCTTTGTTAGATTAGATCAGAATTTAGACTGTTTTCTCATACAAAGATTTGTTGTTTCATAACTCAACTCTCCCTCTCTCTGTGAGAAAGGTGCCCAAACATGTGTGTTTTAATTGATTGATTCTGGCTGGGTTGCAGAGGATCAAATACTTATTTTACTCAATTAAATGCAAACTGATTTGTAACTTTTGCATGATGAGTCTTTTTTTTTTTATCTATTAAAATGAAACCGCCGTACTTATTAAATACAGTTCATTTCTTTGTAAGTAGAAACACACACACCCTTGTAAATTAGTATGCGGTGCTGTGAAGAACTGTTTTCTGTCTTCCTGGTTTCTTTTTTTTGTCTTTTTTCTTCTTCTTTTTTTTTGCATATCTGTCACACTTACATGTTCCAGATCATCAAATAAATTACAATACTAAACAAATAATATTAATCTGACTGAAAACAAATAGCATTTTTTAGCAATTATATGTCATGAACTACCTTCCAGATTTTTCTCTTGGTCTTCAGTTGCTGATGCAACAATACCCCTGAAGATGGACACACATTTTTACATGCAGTTCCATAAATGCTGAGACAGAGAGAACTTATTTTCAAATTTTGGCTTTGTACATTACAACAGTTATTTTTTAAATGAAACGATTCAGATTCAGTTGAAGGAAAGATTCTCAGCTTTGATTCAGTGGGTTTAAAATCAAGAATAAAAATGTGAGGAACGAAAGCACTTTTTAACACGATTCATTCACTCCAGGGGTTAAAAAGTAATTTGACAAATTCAATAATTTAAAATAAAATGTTCATTTTCAATGAAAGCCTGAAGCCTTAAAATCATGGACATCACCAGAGGCTGGGTTTCCTTCATTGTAATACTCTGCCACGTCTTTACAGCAATGGCTTTCAGTTGCTGTTTGTTTTCTTTTCTTTTCTATGTTCATCGTGAAGGAAATGTCAAGACAAAATGAGTCATGTCATGTCATCTTTAACAATGAGGAAATGATCATTCATAACTCGACAGACTTTTTTCTTCCTGCCTTATTAGCAGTGTCACAGGTTGAACAAGCCTCTATGTAAGTCATTTCTAGTAATCGAAACAATGTGTGGGTTTATTTTTATGGGAGTATTTCCAGAAACCTTGTGTACAGCATAAACTTAGGCATTATAATTCTTAAAACATCCTCATTCAGTTCACAGAAAAAGAAAAACACTTTGTTAAAGTTCTGAGACTTGTAGATGAAAATTTCTGCTGCAAGACAACAACAAAAGAAAAACTAAACTAAACAAAAGAAAGAAATACTTGATCTAATAAATAATGTTTTTAATTTATTAAATTAAGAGCTTAAAAGATTAATCAGTGTAATTAAAACCTTACACTGATCAAATATGCATGCCAAATATCCTTGAGCAAGAGCATGTGATGGAAGCAGTTACATAGAAAATGTATAGCATGCTGGTAGGGTAACTATGGCATAGTGGCAAGTTGCTTTGAGTGCTATGAGGAGAAAAGTGCCATATAAAAACAAACCCATTTACCCATCACTGTAATTTGAGAAACTCGAAACGGCAAAATATTTTCCATTTTCAAATTTAGATCATTTAGTTTCAAAATGTTGAATCATTGTCTCATAAATATATTGGAGAGAAAGATGCAATTCCCCTCAAATATAAAAAATGACGTAAAAGGAAAGTACTAAATTACTATTGAAGTAAAAGTATTTAAAGTGTGTATTCAGCTACAAGACTTAAGTAAATGTGTTTAGTTATATTCAACCAGTCCAACGAATACATGGAGCAACACAAGAAGAACACAGAGAGAGGTGAAGTGAGTGAAGTGGACCAGGTTTTCACCACTATCAATTTTACTGTTACCTGTGGTGGAGGTAGTGGTGGGGACAGCAGTGGGGACAGTGGTGGGGACAGCTGTAGGGAAAATGGTGGGTGTAGTAGGAAGGGCAGTGGTGGGCACAGTCGGATGGACAGTGGTGGGGAAAGCAGTAGAAGAAGCAGCAGTGGGGACAGCGGTGGGGACAGTAGGAATAGCAGTGGTGGGGTTACTAGAAGGGACAGTGGTAGGGACAATTGTGGAAACCGTGGAAGGGACAATGGGGGAAACAGCAGTAAGGGCAGTAGTGGGAACAGTAGGAAGTGCAGTGGTGGAAACAGTGGTGGGGACAGTTGAAGGGACAATAGGGGAAACAGCAGTAGGGCCAGTCCTGGGTAGAGAACTAGAAGAAGCAGCAGGAATAGTAGAAGGGACATTGGTGGGGACAGTGATTGGGATAGGACTAGGGGAGGTGGTGTGGCTAGGAGTAGTAACAGTGGTGGGGACAGTGGTTGGGATGGAGTAGGGGAAGTGGTGTGGCTAGGAGTAGTAACAGGAGTAGTAAGTCGTTGAGGGACATGGTGGGGACAGTGATTGGGATAGGACTAGGGGAGGTGGTGTGGCTAGGAGTAGTAACGTGGTGGGGACAGTGATTGGGATAGGTAGTGGAGTGGTGTGGAGTAGGTAGTAGTAACAGTGGTGGGGACAGTGATTGGGATAGGACTAGGGGAGGTGGTGTGGCTAGGAGTAGTAACAGTGGTGGGGACAGTGGTTGGGATAGGTAGGGGAGGTGGTGTGGCTAGGAGTAGTAACGTGGTGGGGAAGTGTTGGGATAGGAGTAGTGGAGGTGGTGTGGCTAGGAGTAGTGACAGTAGGTAGGGCAGTGGTGGACACAGTTGGATGGACAGTGGCGGGGAAAGCAGTAGGGAGAATGGTGGGAACAGTAGTGGGGAAAGTGGAGGAGAGAATGGGGGGGAAAGCAGTAAGGACAGTGGTGGGCACAGCAGTGTGGACAGCAGTGGGGGCAGTAGTTGGGACAGTGGTGGGGACAGTAGAAGGGGAAGTTGTAAGGACAGCAGTAGGAACAACTGTGGGAACTGTGGTGGAGACAGTGGAAAGGGCAATTGTGGAAACAGCAGTAGGGAATGTCGTGGGGCCCGTAGAAGGGACTGTGCTGGGGGCTGGAGTAGGGAGAATGGTGGGAACAGTGGTGGGGACAGTAGAGGAGACAATAGGGGAAACAGCAGTAGGGTCGGTCGTGGGGACAGAAATAGAAGAAGCACTGGGGATAGTAGAAGGGACAGTAGGAGGGACAGTGGTGGGGAAAGTGGTTGGACTAGGAATAGTGACAGTGGTGGGTCCAGTAGAAGGGACAGTGGTGGGGACAGTGCTGATGGCAGGAGTAGGGACAGTTGTGGGGACAGTAGCAGGGACAGTGGTGGGGAAAGCAGTAGGGAGAATGGTCGGAATAGTAGGAAGGGCAGTGGTGGGGACAGTGGTGGACACAGTCAGATCGACAGTGGCGGGGAAAGCAGTAGGGAGAATGGTGAGAACAGTGGTGGGATCAGTGGAGGAGACAATAGGGGAAACAGCAGTAGGGTTGGTCATGGGGACAGAAGTAGAAGAAACAGTGGGGATAGTAGAAGGGACAGTAGAAGGGACAGCAGGAGGGACAGTGGTGGGGAAAGTGGTTGGGATAGGAGTAGTGGAGATGGTGGGGCTAGTTGGGATAGGACTAGGGGAGATGGTGGGGTCAGTGCTGGGGGCTGGAGTAGGGACAGTGGTGAGAACAGCAGTAGGGACAATAGTGGAAATAGTAGGAAGGGCAGTGGTGGGGACAGCAGTAGGGACAGTAGGAAAATCAGTGGTGGGGTTACTAGAAGGGACAGCGGTGGGGACAGTGCAGTTGTAAGGACAGCTGTAGGGACAATTGTGGAAATATTAGGATGGGCAGTGGTGGGGACAGCAGTAGGGACAGTAGGAAAATCAGTGGTGGGGTTACTAGAAGGGACAGCGGTGGGGACAGTACAAGGTGCAGTTGTAAGGACAGCTGTAGGGACAATTGTGGGAATTGTGGTGGAGACAGTGGAAGGGACACTGGGGGAAATGGCAGTAGGGACAGTGCTGGGGGCAGGAGTAGGGATAGTGGTGGGGAAGGTGGAAGGGACAGTGTTGGGGACAGCAGTAGAATAAGCAGCAGTAGGGTCAGTTGTGGGGATACTAGAAGGGACAGCAGTGGGGACACTAGAATGGACAGTAGTGTGGGCAGTAGTTGGGACAGTGGTGGGGACAGGAGTAGAGACAGCGGTGGGGACAGCGGTGGGGACAGCAGTAGAGACAGCGGTGGGGACAGGAAGAGTTGATGATGTTGGACAGGTGAAATAAAAGTCACTGTCAGGGCCCAAGGGGGTGAAGGTAACAAAGTTTGGTTGAGTGCCAGTGACGGTGTCCTTGATCCAATTTTGGTACTCTGACACACGAGTGAAGACTGCAGGTCTTGCACAGTCATCATTAAAAGTCACAACTCCACTCTGGAGCCATTCAAATCCTCTCTTTGTCATTAGTTGTCCCCCTAAGTTACCCTGTGAGAAAAGAAAGATCAAAGTTCTGAAGGCAGAGAAATACCTTTTAGTTACACCTGTTTCTGTGTTGATCCTGCTAAAGCATGAATATTATGAACGCTAACCTAAAAGGCAGTTTGCTTACCTCAATCTAAGCTATTATTTTATTTATGAGTCTGTAATTAACTTTAACAGTCACAAAGACAGTAACAAAATGAAACAGTCAGCCCATCTAAAAATGAAAGGAGAGTCTCTAAGTAAGTGTGAACGATTTCTACAAGCTGCAACCGGATAGCTATTAAACCAATCGCAAATATATTTTTTATTTGCTTATATGTTAAGAGGAGGCTTCTTCAAGGACAGAAAAAGCTAAACAGACACTGAAGCGCCTTACTACTCCCCATTGAGAATTAATTTTAAAGCTTGTTTTTGTGGGGGGGTTTTGTGGGTTTTTTTTGTGTTTTTGTGGTTGACCTGTTGCACTTAGGGACTCAAGTGTATTTACGACTATGATGTCACTGATAAAAAATTTCCCAGAAGTTTCGATAAGATATTTTTTGCATATCCAACTGTGCTGAAACTCGATTGAGTAATAAATCATCTTGGTTGAGTCGTGAAAGCTAACAGTCTATAATATCAGTAAGGTTGATACAATAACAGAAAAAACAATAATCCAATATGAAAGTAACACATAATTCTCACAGCACTAATCAAGGAGTGACATTATACATGAATCTTCGGGATCACCTGACATGAATCCTTCTCTCCAGCGCTGAGCCCAGCACAGATCATGTTCTCCATGATCACTTTGTCACCTTCATAGTAGCACTGGCACTCATTGTTTCCCACTACTGGTACATTTACTTCACGCAGGATGTTCAGGAAGGAATCGTTACCGAATTGTAAAAAGAAATAGAAGAGCTTTAAAAAAAACCCTGTACATTCCTAGAAAATTAAAAAATATTTTATATACTTACCATTTTCACATATATCAGTAATCCAGCTGCTTGTCCCACTGTGGAAAGTGCTTTTTGATGAGGCTAAGCAGACTGGCTGAATGTAGTCTGTGAAAGTCACAGGAACTGACAGCTTCAGAAGACAAATGTTGTTCTCATGTGTGTTGTTGTTGAATTCAGGATGGCAGATTATGTCTTCTAATGTTCGAGACATTTTGCTGGAGCTTAAATCTGACTGGTTGTGGCAGCCGAGATGGACCTCTGTCAGGTTACTAAATTTAAAAATTGTGAAAAAGAATGGTTTGTTGTTTTTTTTTTCTTTTCTATTAGCTTGATTTGGTCAAGATCACATTTCAAACCAGGTACTGTTCATGTGATCTTGAAAATGGACACATCAGTGATTTATTGTGCGAAAATGGAATCATTACTTTCAAAGCTCTTTTTTCTCCTTGTGTGTGTGTTTCTGTGTTTGGGGTTAATTATTGGCAGGGATAATGATTTAAAGATATCTGTGATATTATTATTATTATTATTATTATTATTAATAATAATAATAATAACAAACAGCTAGGCTAGCCTTTCCCCATTGTATGTCTTTATGCTAAACATTTTGGACAGCAGTTACATCTCAGATTTGGACAACCTCCAGAAGCGATCTGCTTGATCCCATCACAATAGTGAACTCACGTGGTCTGCCACGTCACACTGAGGGTCCAACGATTCTTGTTGCCCTAAAAAATTGTTTCTGGAAATGTATTTCTGTAGAATAATTTTTTTAAGATATTAAAAACTCCTGACCTTCAGAAAATAAGTAGAATGATAACCTGTAAATCTTAACCTCTTAAGCCCCAAGCCTACCTGATCTCCTGCCTTTTGCCCCAGTATCAGGGGGCGTTGGAGCTTAAGAGGTTAAGCTAGATGTAAACTGAGGAGTAATGGTCATTTGCAACATCATCACACAGAAATTTAAATTGGCAACAGTGACTTACTGTGATATGCAGGAAGCAGCTGTCAGCACCCACTGGTTGGTGATTAAGGACCCCCCACACCGAAACTCTCCATTGTGGCTTATAGTGACCTGCCAGGGCCAACTTTCTGTGCTTTCCACAGCCCTGCCGCATGCTGGCAAAACAAAAGATCACAGCTAACTGTAAAAACTACTTTTCCATGTCACAAGGAGTCGCCACAGTGGGTAGCTCGTCATGTTTTGTTTAGCTGAGTTTTATGCTGAATGTCCCTCCTGATGAAAACCCAAAGGGGATAAACCATAGATAACTGTAATAGGCCCATTTCACTCTAGTCATTGGTCATGTTGTACACAAACACTGACATCACCACCAGTGTTGGGGAGTAACGGAATACATGTACCGCTGTTACGTATTTAAAATACAAAATATGAGTAACTGTATTCCGTTACAGTTACCGTTTAAAAAGGTGGTATTCAGAATACAGTTACTTTGTTGAAATAAATGCGGTTATTTACACTGCGGTACTTTCCTGTTTCATTTTGTCGCGGGTCAGGACTGTTTGGGTTTTGTTTGACAGCTACGTTCTGTTGTTCCAGGCGGCAGCGTTACGGTTGCCATGGTTACAGGGTCGACGCTCTCTCTCTTCGCGACTGTTGTCCTGGGTGAGAGAGCGCCTTTTCGTTGTTGTTGTTGTTGTGCTAAGCTAACAGGCAGAATGCTACAAGCATAGCTCTAAAGAATGTAGCATCATGGGCAGTGTAGTCCGTGTTGCAGGGAGAATGGACTGCCATACACGTTATGGGTCTGTGAGCGCGAGGAGGGAGAAAAAGGGGAGTGGAAAGGTACGAGTTGTCATCGAGGAAAAACGGGAGCTGGAAGCATGTAAATATAATAATAACCACTTCAGCCAAGAAGAGTGCCTGACGAGCCCAGTTGTAAGTAAGCTATTAAGACTCGACTGTACACCGTGTTCGTGTTTTCCTCCGAAAACAATAAGTTCCGTTGGAGCAGCCTTTCAACGCCTCTCTCTGTCTCTCGCAAGAAAAGTTGACCCACACAACAAAGTAAAGCTATTTTTCGGCTACGAGCCGACAGGGACCCCGCCGTATTAGTCAGAGGTCCCTTTACTACAGTTCGGAGTCGCGGACCTTCAGTAATAGTAATAAATCACACAGCAATAGTACATTCACGTTGTTGTAAAAAGCATGATAATATATTAAGTAATCCAAAGTATTCAGAATACGTTACTGTCATTGAGTAACGTAACGGAATACGTTACAGAATACATTTTGGAGCATGTATTCTGTATTCTGTAATGGAATACACTTTAAAAGTAACCTTCCCAACACTGATCACCACAGCTCCCTTCTAATGATAGATGCAATGAGGGTGTGTTCCTGCAGCAACGTGGGCTGAATGAGGAGCCTCTAGCGCTGTCCCACAGTTTAAATATCTGCATCGTTTAAGTTCCAGCTGTCATCAAAGACTGTTCCCCAGATGTTATTGTAATAAATTTCTACTCTGCATCAAGTCGATCCAGCTAATCTGATTGGACCTTTTAAGCATAGGTCACAAGACAAACTACTTTTTTAATATATGTAACTTACATTAAATATACACATACATATAACTTCAAGCACTAGGTACAGTGACTCCCAAGCTTTGCAAGTGGCTCCAGCTGATCCCAGAAACAACATCGGAGATCTATGTGGCTCTGTGTGAAGGATAGACCTTCCACATATATGTATGACACTAAAGACACCACGAGGAAATTGTTCTCTATCTATAAGTTGTCTCACCTGAACAAATGACACTAACATCGTAGTGATGTTCACTGTAGTAGTTTCCCCATCCAGAGTGTTGACATTCAGTTAGAGAACTTTCATTTCCTGAACAGGTCACATCACCAAGCCAAATCGGTCCCAATCCTTCACCAAAGTAAGCAAGTCGTGGAACCTCTAGTGCGGACCCACAGTTTATCTGTCTGCAAACCACATCAGCATCGTTTAGGTCCCAGTTAAAATCAGAGACTGTTCCCCAGATGTTATTGTGAAAAATTTCTACTCTGCCAGAGCATCGAGTTGATCCAAAGCCAGCTAATCTGATCAGATCTATCAGATAAAGGACATAACAAAATTTTGATATGTTAATTTTATTATATAGAAAAGATTTCTCATTTGACACACAAGAATAGGCTGATCTATAATGTCTTGAATATTTAACAGTTTTCTCACCTGAACAGATCACACCAGCATCCTGACCATGTCCACATCTGTGTGATCCAAATCCACTGTGTCGACACTTAGTGAGAGAGGTTTCAGTACCTGAACAGCCCACATTATCAAGCCAAATCTGTCCAGTTCCTGCACCAAAGTGAGCTGAATGAGGAGCTTCCAGTGCTGTCCCACAGTTTAACTGTCTGCAAACCACCTCTGCATCATTTAAGTCCCAGCCATTATCACAAACCGTTCCCCGTATGTTATTGTGATAAATTTCTACTCTGCCAGAGCATCGACTCGATCCAGATCCAGTTAAGATCATTGGTACAGCTGAAAACAAAACACAAAGATAAGGTTGGGATAGTTCATGCAATACTTTTAATGTCCAAGCACAGTGTTAAGTCTAATTGTTGAGTGTTGTCATTGTGCTTCTTAAATTTTTAAGGTCTGAGTTCAATCTATAGGATCAAGACATTCCTTTGTCTCGGACCACTGGCTGGAGAGGCTTTTATTGCAGATACGTTCTCTGGATCTGGAAGATCTGTTTCTTGTGATGTTGCTTCCTGCTTTTATGATTCTTTTGGTGAGCAGGAAGTCATGCATACAGAGACACATGCACACAGAGAGACACACATTCTCACACACTCACTCAAACACACACGCACACATTCTCACACACGCACACACACACACTCTCACATGCATACAGATGTTTATACATACACACACATAGTGCCTTGTCTTAGAACCATGTGGGAGGTGCTTTGCTGTGATGTGTATTGTGTGAACTGTTTTCCCAACAAAAGGCAGCAAGCGGAGGCCGTCGTTGGGAAAACAGGATTCAGAGTGCTTTCTGAGACACCGGCTGGGGCCTCCCTTACTAGCAAGTAAAAGATGTTCATCTTGTTTTTGTCGTTAACGAGAATAAGTCTCTAGACTAGTGGGGCTTGTGGAAACACAGACCCAACATACAGTTACCCCAGTTTACAATATTATTTCGAATGAGATAACACTGACGGTTAAAACAGGTGGATTAACGAGCTCCATGTATTTGCTGGGCTCGGTGTCTTTCCTCTGGGTTAGACCACATGTTAGCTCTCTGCCAGGCTGCTCTCTGCTCTGTTCCGGATCTTCAGGGTATATTGGGCACTTCAGACCATTAGGAAGACAGATTAGCTGGTGTCTACTTCCCTGAGGTGTTGGGCAGAGCCTTGTCTCTAGTATCATCCCATTTCTTCCATGTCACTTTACTCAGATTTGTCTGAATTTTCTTGTTTGTTTGTTTGTTTGTTTGTTTTTCAACTCCAGCGCACCTCTTGTGTGGCAGCCTGTTACAGAAGCTCTATTCATTTCTGTGTCCTTCCTAAAACTTCCCCTTCTCCCTAAACAACCAAGTGCCACATGTTACTATATCATTTTTTGGATTGGCTGACATGGTAAACTTTAACACCAATAGGGAAGGGGTGTTTTTTCTTTTTCTTTTTTCACTCGCAAGCGGAGAGTGTTTGCTAGCGCTGTCTGTAGAAAACGCAGTTTTTACCGTTCTTCCCGCTGTAAACACCACTGTTTTGTTCAGAAAAAAACATGCGTGTATTTTTTATCATAACTCTGGTTTTACGTGGCCCATCGACACAATTCAAAAACTGGTATATAGTTTGAAGTCCGCACTTTCGACCCAAGTTGAAATGGAGACTCAGAGTTGCTACATCTTGTAGCTGTGTTGTCTGAAATTGGTCATGTGATTTTTAGGCGCCGGTGCGTCCCTTGACCCCAGAGGGTTAAGAACTGTTTTGAGTCCACTGTTTGGGAGATGCTCTGTGACGACCACTGGGAGGACATTGACAGCCTTGTGACCTGCATTATGGATTACATTAACTTGTGCATGGATAACACCGTACCCATCGTGCAGTGTTTTTCCAAACACAAACCTTGGATCACCCGAGAAATAAAAGCCGTTCTCAAGCAGAAGAGGAGAGCCTTCACTTCTGAAGACAAGGAGCAACGGAAAAAGGAATAGAGAGAGCTAAAAGGACTGATCAGGAATGGGAAGGACAGCTACAGGCAGAAGATGGAGAACCAGATTCAGTAGAACGATATTAGCAAATTCTGGAGAGGCCTTAGAACCATCTTGCGCCACAAAGAATAGAACTCTGCCTGGGGGGGGGGCGCTGCCATAGTAGCCAATACACATCCAGCACACGGCTCCAGCTTGTCTCTCTCAACCATCCAGGTTACGAGAGAACTGAGCAGGATTAAAGCCAATACCCTAATGAGCTCATCACTGGACCCACTTCAGTTTGCCTATCAGCTTGGAATTGGAGTAGATGATGCCATCATTCACCTCCTACATCATTCCCTTTCTCACCTGGAGACCGCTGGGACCACTGTGAGAATCCTGTTCTCCAATTTCTCCAGTGCCTTCAACACCATTCTTCCCACAGTCATGAAGGAGAATCTGGAGAACACAGGAATGGACCATCACCTCGCATACTAGACTACCTCACTGACCGACCACAGTATGTGAGAACTCAGGACTGGGTCATCAGCAGTACGGGGGGGCCCCACGGGAAATGGTTCTGGCTCTGTTCCTCTTTACCATCTACACTGTAGACTTCTCTCACAACTTCACCCAGTGCTTCCTGCAGAAGTTCTCTGATGACTTTGCAATAGTCGGCCTCATCACTGATGGGCAAGACAAGGATTACAGAGAAC